TGAAAATACATATTATATTTATGTAACTTTAGTTGCCTTTATTAATATGGTGTTAATTATTATTACAGTCCATGATAACCTACTAAAGGACTACGGGTCTCCTCTACATAAGAGGGGTACACTATAATAAATAGAAATCGATATTAATTTCGTTGGCCGAGTGGTCGTAAGTGCCACTGCTGGGCAAGGGGTCTCGAGTTCGATTCCCGGGTCGGGTAAATTATTATTGGGTTTTAAAAAAATGCTCAGTAGTAGCACAGAGTCTGGTATTGTGCCCGGTATATGGCAATAGGCTCACCCCCTATTACATGGGACTCATAACATAAATAGTGAAAAGTGGGTGGTACATTGTACAGTAGCATTACGTGGCGTAATGTGCAGCTCTGCCTAACTAAAAGGCGTGATGTCATGTAATATTAATTTCGCCAGTTAGTCGACTACTAACGCGCTATTGAACGCTAAGTCCGAGGTTCGATTCTCGGGTCAGGAAATGGTATTTTTTTTCCTAACTGCAGTAGTTTTAAGTACACAATAGAAGCACGGTATTGGTTGCATTTGTTCCTAGATTAATTTTTTGAAATATAATTGCATTGTCTATCTGTTGCGCTCTCCTAAACAGCTGAACATGTTTTAGATAAATATGAGGTGTAATGGAATAAATGTTATGAGTTGCAGAAAATACATGAAATTGAATGATGCATTTCGGTTTTATTTTAAATACATATTATCATGATTTTTTAAACTATTTTTAATTATGAAGGTACCAATGTATCTTGTTCCGAGTTATATGTACTTCCTAATATTATCTAGACTCCGCGCGCGCCTCAAAGAGCCATCAGACCACCACAGATGGGGCCCAATACGGCCGATGACGATTCGGAGTCGCGGAGAACCTAACGGGTTACCGGGGCTCCGGCTCGACGTGCAGGAGAAGGAACGGGGTGGTTTTTAGTCAGTAAGAGTCTGACACTCCCTCCCGGTTCACCCAGGCGGGAGCAGTCATTCGATGATTTTCCCCCCTTAAAAAAAATATTATCTAGACACCACTGACAAACGGGGAAGGAAAACATTGTTATGATTTCTAATTATAAGTTTGAAATCGCCAACCCGCATTTAGCAAGAATGGTGATTAATGCTCAAACCCTCCGTGTGTGAAGATGAAGTTGCCTTTGACCAGGAAGACAGTTTGAAGATTGATAAATTTTTGTTGCTTTTTATAATGAAAAATGTAATTATGTATCTCGGCTTACGTAGTTATTTGACGAGGAACTCGACTAGTTTCAAGCCATATCTATAATAATAATTAGGCACTTGTCAACTATAGTCAGAATTATAATTAGATTCCAGATTTGACATTAGCTACTGTCATTTTGTGAAATAATGATACCACATATAATAGTGTAGTGATGAACACAAAAATCGATAAACAATCAGTGTGTGTGTTTTATAATAAATGTTACATAAAGTGATAGGATAGCGATAGTGATGACGGCGATAATTTATAAAATAAATTATTCCTAACTGTTTTATTTGTAATGTTCCTTCATGATTACATTTTTTTTTTATTTTTACACACAATTATAAAAGAAAAGTCTTAGATCGTTAATTAATCGTCAAAACTAAATTATCGGTTCAGAAATATTTAATTTCCTGATATACTTAGTTTACGAGAGTAAAATTATAAACGAGAAGAGTCGATCCAGAAATATTCCATTTCCATATCGAATAATTTCGCAACGTCACTATTTAGTACTTGTCATAACGTTGCAACACTGAAATTGTCAAATTTGGAATCGAATTAAAATTCCGAGTATAGTAAAATTCAATCCTTTTTTCGAACTGTCAAAAACGACAGTTTTCTATGAATTTTGTACGAGATTGTGTATTGTGACGTCACGTTTTTTTAGCGTCAAACAGCATAGTTATTTGTTAAAAAAATCCTGGAAAAATACTAAAATTTAGTTGGTCATAGAATCAATTAATGAAAGTGTGATTATTTTTTATTGTTTTATTATATTGAACAGTCTGAATAATTTATTTTTGACTAAAGAAAGTACCCAATTGGTTTAGTATGTTTCACGAAAGTTATAACATAAATTTAATTAACTAAAAATCGCGGGTTACTCCCGTGAATATACTGAGAAAAGCTCTACTAGTTTCGAACCACAGAGGGGTTCTACCTCTCGAGCAGCATGATGTCGCCTACTGAGCCGCGACCGCGTACGCAGTTATGAAAAAATAAATGTAATTATCTAATTTCATGGTTTAAACCTACA